GGATGCCGTACGTGGTGATGCATTGAAAGGAGGAAAGAATAGGAGATTTGCTTTCCATGCTCAACTTTTGCCACCTTCCTCCACCCTAATGTCTCAGGAACCATAGGAACACCTGCCTGGATGATGCTTTCCTATAGCTCTTTGTTACCTCCCTGTGCCCTTGCCTGGGACCCCATGGGGAGAGTGAAATACAGAAGTAAAGAAAAGAGAGCTATCTGCAAGTGAAATGGCTTGTCTCTGAAGGAAAGGATGGGGCTCGTGTATAATTTCTCAATCCCTAGGGCAACAAGCAATGCTGTATGCCACCATTTTCCTCTTCCCTAAAACGTATTCACACCATGCACCACCCGATAGGCTCCCTGAAAGTGTCTTTTGGTTTACCTTAATGCTTTTTGCTATTCTGCCAGTCAGCCAGCTGCTGGAAGATTTTATTTTTAAAAATATCTAAGGAGCTATTATGTTATATGTGATCAGTTGAACAAAAGTATAAAAAGGTACAGAACCAGAGAAAGAAGCAAATGTAAGCTGCATGACTGTAGACATAGAACAAACCCAAACAGCTGGGGTGATGCCCTCCATGTTACCCAAATCACCCTCACTGACAAATATAATATCAAATTATAGGGGAAACCAGGAATATTCTGCTGGGATAGCAAAGTTGAGGCAGGAGTGAGAGTAAAGAGGATAAAAGCAGCAACTCTCACCATGTGATATCTGTGACTGCAGCAGCACAAGAGCTGTATGTTATCACAGCGGGCGTGACACGTGGGGACTTTTGTCTAAGATGATTAAGTTCCACTTGTGATGCAGAGGTCAAGATAAAAGAAATAGTTTTTCTTTCCATTCTGTTATCTTTATAAAAGAAAAGGATACCTAAGCAAAGGGTAAAAAATATGTACTTCCTATGCTAAGAGCATAGGAAAACCCAACACAAAAAATTGCCAAGATCACCCTGTAGGAGCCAGCATGCTTCCATCTCCTCTTCCCTTCCACTGATGCTATGCTTCTTTAAGCTTCCATCTGCTTCCTGCATAGTCTTCTTGCTTCCTATCTCCTACAGCCCTTCTATGTCATCTTTCATTTTGTTTTTCTGGTTATTGTCCTAGAAGTGAATTAATTGGTTGAATTAAACAATTCAACAAATAGCTTTCCAAACCAGACCCCTTCAAAACTGCCTCACTGTGCAAATTCTCTATAACTTGTCTGTCTTTCATCATTGCCTCCTCCCTACTTGGCCTAGACTGTGGGTTCCCTGTGCCTACCAAGCTCTCATATAATTTCCTATTCATGTGTGTTCTCTACCTTTTTTGCCTTAAAGACTGTGCTCCTGCCATTACCACCACCTTTTCCCATTACTACTATTCAAAATCCTGTTTATCTTTCAAGTCCAAGTTCCAATGGACCCCACATGAATGTTTCTGTACCATTCTTTGTATACTTCTCTAATTTAAGTAAAACAAGTAGTTGCACATAAAACTATGAGCTCATTTGTCCTTCCACTAGATTGTAAGCTCCTTGCAAGGAATGATTGTCTTGTGTTTTCTGAGTTCTACATAAAGTGACTACAACAGTCCTTTGTACAGGGTGTACGCTAAGCAAATATGCTTATGTTTAATTTCACTCACTCAACACACACACACACACACACACACACACACACACACAACAAAAGGACAGGTAGTCAAATTGTCATTTCTTATGCAATTCAAAGATGAAATTTAGAGAATATCTAATCTCAAGGAGACAATGAATAACAATAATAGACCATAACCAAAGAACTGATTTATTGCATCTTACCAACCAATTCAATAAAACCTGGCTTTGTAAACAAACGGTTGCAAAATTATGAGGGACAATTGTTGAATTAAACAAACAGTTCCATCTAAGATTCTTAGGTCTTGCGCTACTTTTACATGGGAAAGAGGTAGTACTAAACAGTTAGCTAGATTATACAGCCAAATACAGTTGCCAATGAGGAAAGAGCTGGGGAACCACACAGAATTACTCTGAGATTCTCAGCTCTGGCTGTGCCATGGGGTCAAACACATGAGTCTCGTGTGCTTTCTCACCCACCGGCCACGGTCACATCTTTCCCTCCACCAGCCTAGCGAATAACCGGGCTCTGTGGGCTCCCCAAGTGCAGCTCAGCATTTTCTGTGGTGAACCAGGTAATAAGAATTATTATGAGAACAAAAACCTTAAGCCTTCTTTTGAAATAATGTGAAGTTGATAATCGTGTATTTGTCTTGCAACATCCCTGGATTAAATTATTATAACTGTATTTCTAATTCCATAGACAAAAGGAAGCCTTAAGAACAAAGATTTCCCTGGTAGTGGAGACAAAAAATATGATCCATGATTTTCTACCTTCCTATGAACTACCTTGATAGGCCTTAATTGAGGCAGTAGAAAACACTCACCCTCCTTGATAAATTCTGCCCTCCCTCCCTCTCTCTCTCCCCTCCTCTCTTTCTCTCTCTCTCTCTCTCTCTCTCTCTCTCTCTCTCTCTCTCTCTCTCTCTCTCTCTCTTTTCACACACACACACACACACACACACACACAATTTTTTTCTACCAAATATTAGGTATGAAATGTTGAGTCTACAACATTTCCATCAAGTTTTCAATGTAAGTCAATCCAGAATGGTAGAGGGCTGCCCCTCCCTAGTTTTCTAGGTCCTATAATTCTAATGGCTGTGAAGCGTTTCGTTTCATTGTGGGTTAATCCTCCAAAGACAACATGACTCACTCAGCAAGTCTCCCCAGCACTTTTGGTAAATAGATTCCACTGAAAAGGAATCTATTTATAACCTTTACTGCCATTTTATGGGCATTAATCTTTACAAAGAGCCATTTTCCAAAGTGGACTCACCTATGATGCTTTTATAACTATTATAGCCACTTGCACTAGTTGTTCTTACCATTGGGGAGTAATGGAACTGTTGGAGAATCTTGAGTGAAGCCCCATGAATCCCAGATACAGAGCTCTTGACTTTGCACACCCTTCTGAAGCAGAAACCCTCCTCCTCCCCTCCTGCCTATGGTCCTGCATGCGGTCACGCTGATTATGCACTACCCGGTGGCAATCCAAGGCTAGGATGGATTCAGAGGCACCTTTGGGACTCGGGAGGTGTTATTTAACAGAGGTCTCCCTGTCATAAATGCCCCCCCTCTCAGAGGAAGGACCCAGCCAGTCCTTCATTTCTAGAATTTCACCTTCCATTCAGGTTCTCAGACTAATTTACAGACATCCAAAACTCATTCCAAAGTCTTAGAAAAAATTAAAAAAAAAAAAACCTCCACCCTAGTCAGTGTGGCTCAGTTGGTTGAGTGTTGTCACAAGCACCAAAAGATCACCTGTTTGATTCCAGGTCAGGACATAAGCCTGGGTTGCTGGTTTGATCCCCAGTAGGGGGCGTGCAGGAGGCCGCCAATCAATGTTATGTTCTCTCCTTAATGTTTCTTCTTCTTCTCCCTTCCTCTCTCTCTCTAAAAATCAATTTTAAAATCTTAAAAAAAAAAAAAGGAAAAGCATTCCCTATTCACATGAATACATTTAATAAAATGAAATCCGTGACAAAGTGACAAAACCCTAAATCAACTTGGCAACCCTTTTACTCTCTAACATTAGTGTGGGTAATTTACTCTTTACCAAAGGGGTAAAGCCTCCTGTTCCTTGGAAAACAAGTAGGAAAGGGGCCAAATTTAATAAGAAAAACACAACACTTGCCCAAACATCTACATAACATTTGTAAATTCCCTTCTCCCCACATCCCAGGGCCTCATCCCAGCGGCTTAAGGAGGACTTCTGGCTGGTGCTTCAGGAACAGGTGCCTGAACTGACTCCCCTCTCTCCAAAAGCATCTTATACAGAAGACTATGGGAAAGCCTCTCTTGTAGGGTTTTGTTTGGGACGATTCAAAACATAAAAGTGGAAGTCATTTTCCCTGGCCCAGAACACCACTGCAACAATAAGGATAATGACGCAATGAAGCTTCAAATGTGTACAGTGCTTTATACTTTTTTAGAACATTTTTCACACACATTATTTCAATCAACTCATACAACAGCTTTTGGCTTATAACCAAGACAGTAGAAACTATAGGATCTTGCCCAAGATCATACAGGTAGTGAGACAACTGGGGCTAAACCCATATTGCATGATTGGTCCGACATTTCCACCAGGTCACTAGCCAGTAAACAGGTCTCTGTCCCATTGCTGTCACCCCAGCTGATGTCCTCTCACTCTCTATAGTCATGCTGCTTGTCAGTTAGTAATTATATCTAACTTTAGATATAAATTTCAAAGGGATAAAAAATACAAGTTCTTCTTTGACAAGCATTATAGAGTTATAAAAATAAAGGTGGAATTCTTTTTCATTGCTTCTTTTCACGTGTCTTTCCCAGATGCAAAGGCCCTGTGAGGGAACAGTTCATCCACCTGATATCTCTAAGTATACCCCTTAGTAATAGCAGGGCCTTCACACCAGGAAACCATTTGCTAAATATTCCCCACTGTCTCACAGCATGGCCTGTCCGTTTCTTCCAGACATAAAACATCTGGGCTAGTATAAGAAACATAGCAAATCCAAAGAGATGTTTCCCAGATGTGCAGCTGTCCTCAAGAGTCTGTCCCAGGGCCAGCTCTGGGGATTCACATTTCCCAAGACCCTTTTCCACTGCACCTCACCATAGCTTTTATGTGACTGAAAAAAAAAAGTTCAAAGAGGTTGACCAGATAGCTGACTAGAGCACTGAGCCGTGAAGAAGCAGCTCTAGAGAGCACCCTGCAGGTGGCCCATGCTATGTGGTCATGTGATGGTTTTCAAAATTCTATTCACAGCAAGTGTGGTGGGATTCCCTTTCAGATGTTTCGGTCACGTGAAGGAATTCCCAGGAAGGTTCCCACCTTCGGTGTGGGGCGCGTTCTTTGTCCTCAGTGACACACAGGCACATCATGGAGCCTTCGACTTTAAGAGAAACATCCTGCAGAAAGTTGCTCATACCACTTCTGTCTTGGGAAGAGTCACTAGCTCCACAGGCTTGTTTGGGGAAGAGACTGGGAGAAATGCTCGTTCCATTACAGGTTTAGAAAAATCTGGGAAAATACTCTGTTGTCGTGCAAATTTCTGAAAAATAAGTTAAAAGAGATAAGTGAGAAGTGAGCATTTGGAGACATGCACCAGTTGTCACCTCAGTTTAAACTTTATTCACTAAGGGCTGGCTGCACATTTGGTTTGAAAGCCCTCATTATGCTGGCTACTCACTCATTTTACTCTGAGCTTGGTCTACTTCACTGCTACTTCTAAACTTTAACCAGGAAATGCACCAGTTACAGACTGGGGTCATTTCAGGCCCTTACTGTTAGTTATTTGTATGGGAAAAATCAGTGCGCACAGAAATGGGCATTTGCAACAAAAAACTAAAGTCACTCACTTTTAAAATTTACTACCCAGCCGAAACTGGTTTGGCTCAGTGAATAGAGCATCGGCCTGCGGACTGAAGGGTCCCAGGTTTGATTCCAGTCAAGGGCATGTAACTTGGTTGTGGGCATATCCCTAGTAAGAGGTATGCAGGAGGCAGCTGATCAATGTTTCTCTCTCATTGATGTTTCTAACTCTTTATCCCTCTTCCTTTCTCTCTGTAAAAAAATCAATAAAATGTATTTTTTTTTAATTTTACTGGCATAGCTCCTGGGAGAGATCTGCCCAGGTCCCTAAGTAGCCAGCCCTTCCTGGTGGTATTGAGGCATATGGGAAAGATCATTTTCTTGAGGATCAGGCCCAGAGCTGACCCTGCTCCCCCACAACCTAGGTGAGCAGCTATGCAGAAGCGGCTCCAAGTCTCTAAGTGAGAGCCTGCTGCCAGTAGCTCAACATCATGTCAGGAATGCCTACGAAGTGGCCAGCCACCCTCTACCACAGGACATTCTCTGTGTTCCCCACTGCTCTGGCTTTGAAGGGTTAATTCTGAAGAAGTGAGTGAAAGTAACAAAATATAAGGAGAGAAGCCCTAGGAGGAAATAGTTGAAGGGCAGGTGAAGGGCACTGATCGTTCCCTGTGTGGCTGTGCTGCTCACTTGCCTACAAGAAGGCTGCGTCCATCCCGGCTGGGGACAGAAGGTGTTGCACTTTTCACCACTGTCACCATGAGGCCAGGCCCTTAGGCACTTTAGTAGGATCCTTTAGCATTTCTCAGATTCCGTTCACATATCTTACTTCATGTCTCGTCCCAGTGCTCTGTGCAGAGCCACAGGACAAAGAACAAGCTGGGCCCTTATTATAATGATTCTCACAGTCTGGGGCACAGAAACGAGCTCTCTGTTATTAAATGACTCACACTGTCTACAAAACATTTGGATTGGTGCCTCAGGTGATCTTTTAGTAATAACATGTCTTAAGAACATACTTACAAAAGTGAAAATGATGAGTGTTAAGTAGAAAACCACCAAAGCCAACAGCAGTACAATCTCAGCTCTGTATTTCTTAAAGGTTGCTTCTCGGCGCTCCTTATGGCATCCTTTAAAAAACACAGGTGAAAAATGAAGCCATTTAACAGGGCTTTTCTATCATAATAAGAAGCTCAGGTGCTTTGTTCATGCCCTTTAAGTCCCTGTCTCCCATTACTGTCCTCACATCTGTGCCATCAGAAGAACAACAGAAATGACAGCAGTGGTGGTGATGGCGGCAACCAGTGCTCACTCACTCTATCCAGCTGTGTGCAATGGGACTTACACATAGCATCTCACTGAATCTTCTGAGACACGTCTGAGCATCCCATTTTACAAATGAAGGAATCAAGGTTCAGAGAGGCTGAGGGATTAAGGCAGATAGCAGAGTCAGGAGTCAGGTCCAGACTTACCCTGCTGCCCATCAGTCTCCATTTCAAATGTCTGGGGTTTCCTGGCTTTTAATTTGCAATTATATCAGTTGTTGATCTGTCTATCTACATTGTCTTGTGTAGAATGCTAGGTGTCCTGACATCAGGAGGATTGCAGGACTACAAAATGAGGCAGTGAGCTGCCCAGCTGCTGCTGGATAAGTAGACACACTTTTGTAAAACTATTAAAGCTCCTCCACCAAGACTGACGGTAAGGGTGGCCTACAGAACAGCTCTCTGAGTAGGGGCGGGAGGGGGTTAAAGGCTGTGGCTGCAACCCTCTGAGAGGCCAAGTGAGATATTCAGCCCAGGAGGGGACATGGTGGAGACAGCCTCTCCCCACTCAGACATGACATCCGATATGTTGCTTGGGGAAGCAAGGTTGCTAACTGAGTCTCCTTGAAGGCTCAGTTAGGAAGGAGCAGGAGGAGTGCAGATGATTGGGGCTTCTACCCAGGGACAACCTCAAGAAAACTGCCAACCCTTAAAACTGGATTTAAAAGTTAGTGTAATATTCTAGGGATGAATTCTCACAGGAGCCTGTGACTCAAGGTTGAGAATCACTGGCCTAATGCTTCCTACCATTTATGGGCACACAGTCTACCACAGGCACTGTGCTTGCATTTTAATGCAATATCTCATTTAAGCGTCATAGCAAGCCGGTCGTAGAAAATATTATTCCATTTTAGAGATGAAAGAACTGAGGCTTAGAATCAATCAGAGATTTGTCCAAGATTACATGCTAGGGAACACGATAGCTAATATCTGAATCAGATCTAAGTGACTCTGGCAACGTAACTTCTGGCAACTTTCAGGCCTTCGAAGAGGAAAGGAAAGAAAATCAGCTTTTCTTTCACTTCATCTCTGCTCTTCCCTGCCAGGTTTCTCTTATTTCTATCATTCCTATCATCATATTCATTGAGTGCCTACTTGTTCCATAGTCAGCAGAGACCAAAGCAGAGAATGGAGCATGTCAGCGCCGTAAATTCTACAAATACAAACAAAGCAGTGTAAAGGGCTAGAGACTGACAAGGGTTATGCTGTGATGTGTGTGTGTGTGTGTGTGTGTGTGTGTGTGTGTGTGTGTGTGTGTGTAACAGTGAACCAAATCCAAACACTGACCAATAAACACTGATTGTGCTCTTGGGAGTATCAGAATACTACCTTGAGTCAGATTCCTCTGAAATACTGGATGGGAAAAGGTAGCTATTATTTAAAAAATCAGGGATTATGTGACAACAATATGTTTGTCATTTCAAGCCTCTGCCACTAACAAGAATAGGGCAGAAGTCCAATGCAAGGCATACTTTAAGCTACATAAAGAAGTTATTTTAACAAATCCAAGTAGGAGACAATCCTTGTCTTGACACTTGATTCATGGAGCAAAATGTGTGTCAGCCACCAGAACATGATTTCCTTGCTGTACTCTTTTTCCTTTGGCCTGAGTTGAGATATTGGGAAGGTTAACCTCTGTAAAGGGAGAGGAAAATGCTGTTCTCATGTTAAAAAGGTAGGAACTTGAAGCGACAATGTTTCAAGGCCCCAAATGAGCTGAATATTATACAGTTATCTGGTGTTGGGGGAACACACAATTTCTCCATCTTCCAAAAATCAGACTTAGATGCTTTCTATTTGCTCCACAGGTCTCTTATATGACTAAAGGACAATCAAATTAATTACATGAGGCATCTCCCCCATCAGGCTGGGTGGATTTGTCCTTATTTACAGAAAAAAAAGAACAAGTCATGGCATTCTTATAGGAGAATTTAGCTTTTAGCCACAGATGTGCTCCAAAGCTTCTGACTTAGGTTCCAACGGAGAGGGTCAATTTTAACAGCTACAGAAAGTACACAGGCATTTTTCAAGAAGAAAACAAGTGCAGCAGACCACCTCACCTGTCACTTCCAAGGTCACTATGCCACTTTGGTTTCTCTGCCCTTCCGGCCCCACCAGAGTGCATCTGTATGTGCCCGAGCTGTAGCTGGTAGTGTTTCGAATCTTCAGGGAATACAGCCCTTCACTGGGGGCCTCATAAGGGCCCTCCTGCTTCATCTGGTGATGGTTCTGCACCTCTATCCTCTCTTCACCGCTCTCTGTAAGCTGTTTAAAAAAGGAATCATTGAATCATGCTCTACTGACAGATCATCAAGCACTGAGCCTACACACCAATGTGCTGCCTCTGGTTTTCACAAAACCCCTCCACCACATATGTCTGAAAACAATTTATTGTGTGGATGTGTGACATTGGGGCGGGGGGAGAGGGGAGAGAATCAATGACAACTCTTTAGGGCTCTGTTTGTTTTGGAATTGGATCAGGACTGCATTTATGATCCTTCATATCCCCTCCTCTAGCCTCCATGAAAGAGAGAGTGTTGCTATTGATGCTGATGATGTGTTAACAATGATGATCTGATGAAATGGGTAAATCACTTTGAATATAATTTTGTTGCTGGCTGTTCTATATTAAATGTCCTCTTGTGTTCTTCAACTACCAACTCACCCACTGACTGACTCTTATTTTTGTATCCCAGCCTTCAATTTGGAAACATTCCTAAATCTGTTAAGACCATTGCCAGACAATGGCTTTTCTCCAAAGGCTGTGTATCTGTGTGGTCATCCGAGACATCACAGCAGGTACCACACTTACTCTACTAAAGTAGGAAGACAGGTGGCTGTAGTGGCATGCATAGATTCTGTGTCAGATCATTTGGTCATTATCAACACACATGTGACAGGATAGTTACAGCTTAAATTACTGTACCCAGGACAGATCAGCCTACAGATGCCAAATTTAGCCAAACTAATTGGGTGGGTTTTCTTTCCCTAAACTATCTTTACGATTAATGCTGGGGCCTCTTCGTCATCTCCTACTTCAAAGATTTGGCACATGCTACACTCACCATCAGCACTCTTTTTCCCAAATATATAATTAACTTGTCCATCCACCTTCCAATGAAATGTTTCAAAGCTTCTAAAACAGACTTAAACAAGCAGGGAGGTGAATCACTGTATTCGGTGCTCAGCCTCTAGCCCTATGCTGAGTGCTGGGGACCAGCAGGAGCCTGGGTTCACTGGCATTCCTTACCTGCCCCCAGCACTGTGACAGCACCACAGAGCCACCCCAAGGTAAGACACAGCGTTAGCAGGCTTCACTGCCACTGTCTTTGCCCTCCCCTGCCAGTGTTTCATCCCTCATTCTGGGGCACCTACAACTCCTCTCCTCCTTCTCAGAAGGGAATCGTGCAGATAATATACAACCAAGGGATTAGGGGAACACCCAGTGACACCAAGGCACCTAAGAGAGAAAATATACACACACCCTCAGTGGTTAGTTCCTGCTTAATTTATTAAGTGAAGGAACACACTACAAAGTCACCAGAAAGCTTCGGTTCCAGCTCCCACAACCTCGGGTGTAGTTAGCATTCCTGTGGAGTGGGCTGCAGAGACATCTGGTGGCAGATTTATCGCTCCTGCACGGAGCCCTGCTCCACTCTCTAGCATGGGGCTGCTAAAACTAATGGCTTTTCGCAGGCCGAGTCTATGAATGTAAATCCTATTTCTTGACGGTTCTTCTTGTGTTGAAAGGTTCCTTCCTGAGTAATCAAGGATCTACAGACTGGGACCTTTAGGTGTTCAAAAATAAAGGGGGGGGGAAGGAGGTGTAGCCAAGGAACCTTAGAAAAAACTAAGGCGTCTAACGATTCTAAAACACATATAACATAGCTCAATGTTTCCCTTTCCAGGTCTAATTAAACCACACACTAAGGCCTCATCATGTGCTCGCACCTGTCTCCCCGCTGCCTGAAGAGGTGCCTCTTCCCACCAGAGCTTTAGATGGGCCAGGTGCCCAAGCCCATCAGGGGCCACCTGTCCTGAGACTCCCCATTTTTAGTTTGAACTAATCAAGTCAGCTAGGTCTCTGCAATTTGCACCGTAATGTCTTTTCAAACTTAACCTCCAAATGCGTTCAACTTTCTAATAGATTTCACTGGAACTCTGTTTTGTTAGAAATCTCTGAATCTGAAGAGACAGTCACTGGCTGCAACAATCATTTTGAGATGATCTGCCTCTGGTTTTCTCCTGGAGCCTCCTCTCCTATCCAGTGACCCCCTCTCTCAGCTCAGAAAAGCCCTAAGAGTCCAGATCAAAACTTCCAACCCCCTGGAGCAGGTGAAAAAATAAACTATTGTGCATATTTACATAAATAGGACCCCACTGTCACGCTGGCTGCTGGGAGCCTCCCAGGCAAGTACAGTATGCCCAGCTAATCAGAACTGCTGGCAGTGGCCTTCTGCCCATATGCAGAGGAGAATTCATTTTCAACATCACCAGTAACAACAGCAAAAAGTAATTTACTTGATGGCCAGATTTTCATGGGCTTCGAGCAAAAACCTCCAGCACAGCTCTAGTTATTTTCAATAGGAAAGCCAAGGCAGGGTGAGAAGAAGAAACAGGAGAAGTAGGGGAATGCAGAACAAAGAACCCCAAAGCCACCTGCAGAATTGTGATGTCCTGAGCCACACAGCCATCCATGGATCACGGCAAAGTATCTCAACTCTCATGGGGTCATCTTCCAATGGCCCCTTTCTAGGTCTTCCTGAAAGACCCAGAGATCAAGGAATGCTACTGGCTTCACCTGAGAACTCTTGCCTCGGTAATAAACAGCTCTCTTTGCCTGGTAACTCACTCCAGCAAAAAAGAAACCTGTACATTCATACAATGGAAATATTTCATAACCCTCCTCTGGCATCAAGCTGTGGGTGTAGACAATGCCTATTCCCCTTCTTTTTGTTGTTTTAAGATATGCCTTTGTGGATGAAAAAGGGGCCACATACCAAACCTGACAAGCTCAGGGGAGGCCTGCACGGCGGGCCTTACAAACTCAGAGAATGAACATAAAAATTCATAAGAGCAAGTCATGACAGGTAGTCATGTCCTAGGTTTGTAGCTTCCTTGACCAAGACCAACTGTTACCTTACCTGAGCCTGTGTGTTGTCATTTTTGCATCTAAGAGAGCATACCTTTAAAATGTCAGACTAATCTCCTTTTCCAGATCCCTCAGAGCACAACCTCCCACCAGAGCAGGAGACCACAAACCCCTCGTTGTTACTTTGTTCCTCACACATCATCTCTGTGTGCTGTAAATGTTAGTTACTAACTGGTACCCGCCAATGTAAAAGGAATATGTGTTTCTCCATTTTGCCTTTTAAGCCAGCCCCAGAGATTCCCATGCTTTGCTCTCTCCCACTCCTGTGATCAATTATCAGTGGGTTTCATGTAACTCCCCTTACATCTCCTCCTTTGATTCTAATATATAAAATAAGCTGCAAAAACTGCATTTCTCTGGAGCATGTTCTCAATCCGGTGAGATTTTGCTTCCCAGCAATGGTCGTCAGTTTGACTCAAATAAACTCAAAAATTCTCTACAGGTTTGGACGTGTCTTGTGTCAACACCTTCTCATGTGACTCCATCTGGGGAAGCTGGGCCTTGTCTACAACTGCAAACACAGTTGTAGTGTTGATGTTAATGCCGCATGCTGAAAGAGGGAGTGCCCACTAGCAGTACCAAGTGACTCCAGATGTAAAAGTTCAAATCATTGCCTGCAGCCCTGTGCCCGAGCAGCTATCACACTGCAGGATCCGCAGAGTTCGCTGTGGTGCCAGCATTGGTGTTTTAAGAACCGGAGGAGAATTTCAGTGGGAGGAGGATGGAGTAACAGCAAAGGGGCCATCCTCAACTTTGCTTTGTTTTATGAGTTCTTATAAACATTTGAGCTGGCTCAAGAATAGCTCTTTAAACATTCCAAATCTAAACGTGTTTCACTGCCTCTCCGCATGCACATTATTGGAAACAGTAATTTATTACAAAAGGAGCTCTCCGATGCAGTCACAGCCAAGCGTAATTGACAGGAATGATTTAATGCACCCTTTACTAGTACAATGCTGATATTGTAGTGCGCTAGACCACAACACGATCTCGGCAAATTAACTCCTCCAAACACTCATCACATTATATTTTTAAAATCTTCATTCCCTACATTAACTCTTATGCTGGCCTTTTTGACTGAATTAGAAAAGGGCAAAATACAGGATCTCACTTTCAGAAAGCCTATGGACTTTTGACTTGTCTCAAGGCTTCCAAATTGACTAAATTATTAACACACCATATTCTTTCTCTAAAATTGCAATTTGACCTTAAGAAAATCATGAGCCCTAAATTAAATCAACCTTATTTAATTTTCTGAATAATAAATCAATCAAATAAAAGTACTAATTTAAGGGCATATGAATTAAGTTCTTTTAGAAATGATGGGCAATTTTGAACTAGAATAAAATAAATCAAATAAATGTTGAATATGGCTGAAAATGAACCAATATTTTTAGTAAAAAACTAAAGTGTTTAAGTTTACATCATTTTATCCAAATATATGCTAACCTCCTAGATTACTATTAAATATATTTGAATATAAGAGGGTTACTCTTCTATTCTTATCACAAAGAAAGAATTTTGACACAAACATAAAATACAAATTTATCATACAGATATCCCTTAAAAATGTGATAGGAGCCGAAGACAGTTTGGCTCAGTGGTAGAGAGTCGGTCTGCGGTCTGCGGACTGAAAGGCCCCAGGTTCGATTCTGGTCAAGGGCATGTACATTGGTTGTGGGAACACCCCCATTAGGGGATGTGCAAGAGGCAGCTGGTTGATGTTTCTCTCTCATCGACGTTTCTGGCTCTCTATCTCTCTCCCTTTCTCTCTGTAAAAATTCAATAAAAAAAAAGAATGTGATAGGAAACTACAAGAAAGAGTTTTGAGGGGCAATACATACCGGCATGCAAATATGATTCAATAATTTGATTAAACATATTTAAAAGTATAACTTTTATTTAAAGATAGTATTAAATTAATCTAATATATTCTGATCACACTGAACAGCTTTTTTTAAAATCACATTTCTCGTGCACTAACATTCATGTACCTTGGTTTCTGACTCAATTAAAGTGCCAAAATAATCACCATTCATCATAAAAACAGCTCTTTATAATGTGCAAAATAGTTTGGCTTGGAAGTTGATGTCATAATGAGGGTAGAATGTAT